AAATATCGATACATCTAAAGTGAGAAACTGATAGAAATATAATAATTCTTGGCTACTTCAATATCCCACTGTCAATAATAAATATAATAGCTAGAGTGAAAATCAAAAAAGAAATAGCTAACTTAAACACTATAGGCCAAATAGTCATAGCAGACATCTAAAGAACTTTCCGCCAAAGAGCAGAAGAATAAACATTCTTCTCAAGCTACATAGAACACTGTCCAGAATAGATCACATGGTAGATCATGAAACAAATCTTAACAAATTTAAGAAGATTAAAATTATACCAAGTGTCTTTTGGACTACAATGGAATGAAACTAGACATCAATCATAGTAAGAAAAAAGGAAAATTCATAAATATGCGAAAATTAAACAACATGCTCTTCAACAACCACTGAGTCAAAGAAGAAATCAAAAGAAAAATTAGCAAATATCTTGAGACAAAAGCAAAACATAACATGCCAAAACAAATAGGATGCAGCAAAGGCAGTTCTAAGAGGGAGGCTGCTGTAGACTGGATGTCCCCCAAACACACTGAAACTTAATCCTCACTGTAAATGTTGAAGGTGGGAAATTCTATTATGGTAATTGAAAGGTCAGGCCTTGAAGACGTGATTAGATTGTAGGACCACGCCATAAAGAATGGATTAAAAATGGTGGTCAGGGGCGTGGTTCTGAGGGCTTTAAAAGAAGAGAGAGGAGAGTCTATCTGCTCTCTCTGCTCTGCCATTTTTGCAAGGTGATACCCTGCTGTCACTGAAGTCACTACCAAAGAAATACTTCACCAGATGTGTTCCCAGGACTTTGGACTTCCTAGCCTCTGAAACTGAGAGCAATAAATTTTGCCTTCTTTGTAAATTACCCAGTTCCATATATTTTGGTAAAAGCAACAGAAATGGACTAATACAGAGGTTTATACTGACAAAAACTACATTAAAATGGAATCATGATCATAAATAGATAATCTAATTTTACACCTCAAAGAAATAGAAAAAGAAGAACAAACTAAGGCCAAAGTTAGCAGAAGAAAAAACATAACAAGGATTAAAGCAGAAAAAAGATAATAGAAAAACAATAGAAAAAACTCAATGAAACTAAGAGTTGTGTTTTTTTGTAAAGATACACTAACTTGACAAACTCTTAGTTAAACTGAGAAAGAAGTGAGAAGACTCAAATAAATAATATCAGAAATGAAAGAAAAGACATTACAAGATATGCCTCAGAAATAAAAAGAATCATAAAGGACTGTTATGAACAATTATACACCAACAACTTAGGTAACCTAGAGTAAATGGATAAATTGCAAGAGATAAACAACCTACCAAGACTGAAACAAGAAGAATTGGAAATCCTGACCACAACAATAACAAAAAAGATTCAGTAAGTAATCAAAAACCTCACAAAAAAGTAAAGATCAGGAAGAGATGGCTTTGCTGATGAATTCTGTAAAACATTTAAAAAATTAACACCAATCCTTCTCAAACTCTTCCAAAAAAATTAAAGTATAGGGAATATTTTCAAACTCATTTTATGTGGCCAGCATCACCCTGATACCAAAGTCAGACAAAACCACCACTAGAAAAGAAAACTACAGGCCAATATCCCTAATGCACCTTGATGTAAAAGTCCTCAATAAAATACTAGTAATCAGAATTCAATATCATCTTAAAAGCATCATACATTCTGAGCAAGTACAACTCATCCCTGAGATGCAAGGATTGTTCAACCTATGCAAATCAGTCAATGCAATATACCACATTAACAGAAGGAAGAATGAAAATTACATGATCATCTCAATAGATATAGAAAAAGCATTTGACAAAATTCAACACTATTTCATGATAAAAAGTCTCAACACACATTATAAAAAAGGAATTTGCCCCAGCATAATAAAAGCCATATATGGAAAGCCCACTGCTAACACTATACTCACTGATGAAAAACTGAAGCTTTTCCTCTAAGATCAGAAACAAGCAAAAAGTGTCCACTCTCCTCATTTCTATTCAACACTGCACTGGAAACCCTAGCTTGTACAATTAGAGAAGAAAAAGAAATAAAAGCCACCTGAATTGGAAAGGAAGAAGTAAAATCTCCCTTTGGAGATGACATGATCATATATGTAAAAAATCCTTAAGACTCCACAAGAAAACAGAAAAGAAAATTGAATTTCTCACTAGCTCATGGGAATTAAGCACAACTTCTGACCAAATACAAGCTATAGAACAAGCCCCTCTGAGTATCAATGAGATAAAAATCATATCAAAACATCAAATGGAAATTCCTGAAGTGAAAAGTACAATTACCCAAATAAAAATTCTGTAGAGGAGACCTACAGATGATTTGAACTAATGGAAGAAGGAATAAGCAAATTTGAAGATAGATTATTAAAGAGGACACAATCTACAGAAAAGAAACTAGAAAAAGAAAAATTAAAAAGTGCCTCTGAGAAATATGTGACCCACTATGAAGCAGTGAGTTAAAATGCTTCCTCCCTTTAAACAAAATGGCCGACAAATAGCTCTTTGGACATTACTTACATTCAGTTTTGTCTTTTTGCTTCCTCAGGTACTCCAGTATTAGGGATTTTAGAACTTTTTATGCATTCACACACTTCTTGTTATTTTTCTGCTTTTTTTCTGTGTGCTTCAGTGGTGACTTTCATTGACCTGTCTTCTAGTTATGCAGTTCTGTAATCTCATCTGTCCAATCTACTGTTAGCAATCTGTCTACTGAGTTCTTATAATATATTGTAATTTTAGTCCTAAAATATTCATCTGGTCATTTCCAATTCACTGAAGACGTTCTTTGTTCCTTCTTATATTTGTACACTTTTCTCTTTTTTGAAAAGATAATAGTCATAGTCATTTTCTCATGCACTCTAGTTCCACTATCTGGATCATTTTAACAGTATTTTTATTTCTCCTTCTGATTCTTTCCTACTTATTTTTTTATTCTCTAATAGGTCATACTTTTTTTTTTTTACTTTAGCATGTATAAAAATGTTTTATTGTATGCAGGTGATTGTGCATAAAACAGAGAAGCTCTAGGTAGCTCCATGAGATAGGTTTCCTTATCTTCTCTGTTATAAATATAGGCTGAGGAGCTGATGAACCGAATCCGTCAAGGATTGAGCTAAAGCAGAGGTGAGTGAGTGGTTAGTAAATCTTAGACTAATTCTCCTTTGCTTATATTACTCAGGTCTGGACTGGCTAGATGCTCACCTTGTAGTCTATGTGACTCTTTTTCCTCAGCTCTGAAAGATTATGAAGATTAATCTCTATCATCCAAAAATTCACATCCCAGCTCTGCAGCCCCTTGCCACGGTGCAAGTTCAAAATCAGATAAGCATCTTAACGGGGAGACAGTACATGTGCATGAGACAAGCCACCTTTAACTATGTCTTGTGTCCAAAATATAACATGATTTTAGGATTCTATGCCTTTTGAGAAATTTCAGACTAGCTTACCAGCATCCCATAAAACACTCGAATTCAGAAAATGTGATGGGGAGAAAAATGATTGTAAATTGAAGGTCCCCAAATGTCTAATTTATGAATCTAGTCCTGTGTAGTAACTAAGGGGATTGCTGGTTTCTCCTGCTCTCAGCAGAGGTCCTCCAACTGGGCCAAGCCTAATCCACAATTAACACCCAGTGTCAGCTCCAGAGGAGAAACTGGCTGGAATAGTCAACTCACTTCAGGGTTGTTTCCACGCCTGATATTTTAGTTATCCAGTCCTCCATGCTTCCACACCTCTCTGAAGCCCTAAAAATATATATATTTTTTAAAAAATTAATTGGTATTTTCTAGGTTTTCTTCCCCAGGGGAAGAAGTTTTCTAAGACTTATTACATTCTACATAGAATTGTATCTTCTTTATCCTATTTTGTAACCCAAGTTACAAAGAAGTTGAGTGGCAAATGTTTTTATTCTTGGGGCCGGCCCGGTGGCGCACTGGATAGTGCGCCGCTTGGGAAGCGCGGCAAATGTTTTTATTCTCTTTTTTCAGATTTTGAAGTAATTCTACCTGTTTAAATCATTTCTCCTAGATGAAGGGCAGTGGTGAGAAAAATTCAAAACCTTCTGATGTCTGACTCCTTCCTCTGTTCTCCACTGTACCACGGTGAGCACCGTATCACTCAAATAGTTCATTCACAAAATGAGAAACCACACCATCGAGATAACCATGAGTGCTAACAAGAAGATGTAACTATCACTACCAGTTCTAGAGATCAAAGGGGAGAGGTTGGGGGTTTTTTAACCTAGAGCTTTGGAATAGGTGCCATGGTTGTAGGACCACCTCTGAGGACAGGGTACAGCCAATGTGGTGCTGGAGCCTCTGGAATTAGGTGGAGGCTCGAAGACCTGGGACTCAGAACTGCGAGGGTAAGTTGCTTGGTGGCTGTGCTGGCATCTCTGGGCTGACAGTACTGTTGGTTCCAGGAATTACTAACGACATAGAGTAATAATGTACAGAGTGAAAGCTTCTGCTGCTGCCGAGGAGCACGCTGGTGCTGAGGCCACAGTGACATCAACAGCACTCAGACCATTCTCTAGGTCTCCAGTCTCCCTCTAGCTCCTCTATTGGCAGAAACGCACAGAGACGACTGGCAAAGAAGAAATGCCATATGAAGGTCTCCATTCTCCATATGACAGAGCAGAGCAAAACGGGAAAGGAGGTTGGAATTTAGGGACAACAAATTAAAACACACACACCCCAGCCGCGAGCTGTACCTTTAATCAGGAAACACGGAGACTAACTCCATGAAAATAAACCACTAACGCTGCTTACAATAATGAAAGGTAGGAATATGCTAGGAATCCCTTTACTTAATGGCTCACGTTTATGATCCTGAAACATAATAGATCCCTGGGTTTTTCCTCTCAGTGGACTCTTACACATGCAATGACATTTCTACTGTCAGGACACCAAAAATTAATACATGGGAAATTTAAATAACGATTGCTTTTATTTTCTGAAACTAAATTTTGGCTATTCTCCCTAAGATGAAGCTTGAACATTTTGTTCATCTTTCTTTTGTAACTTTCTGTGCGGGTCACAAAGCCAAAGTAACATACACCAAAGCGTGAGCAAAAAAGGAATCCAAAGAAGTAGTATGAGGTACTTCCTCTTCACCTCACTTTGGGTTTCCACTTTTCTCCGAGGGGGTGGGCCACTATCAACACTACCTCCACTGCCGGCTGTCAGGCAGTCAGGAGGGTCCCACTCAGAGCTGCAGTGGCAGTGATGTTTATTGTTGCAGACCCCTCTCATATTGCAGGTCTCAGGTGAACAGGAACTGCTCCAAAGTGACATAGGAACACACCGCCTGCGGATGCACACGTGTTCTGCACCACACTCTGTGCCATCTTTCACTTCACCTATATCAGGTATGGTCATCCCAAAATGATAGTCGGTACTCCAGCAGGTGACACCATTGGAGTGAGCCCAATGCACAGTAGAATGATCTTTCAGAAGGGGAATTTCTGTCACGTTCTCACACTGAACTCTCCCACACAGGATATCTGGGACCTGACACCTTACATATGTAGAGCCATTCAAACCACAGTGACCAAAACGGTCACCTCGGACGTTCATTTCCCTGTAGCAACTCTGATTTGCACTCTTGGCCTTTTTGCCAAAAATTTGCCTACACTGTTCATCACGGATATTGCATCTCCTTTCATAGCAGTAGCCACCACCCATGCAACGGACCCCGTCCTGCACATGCACATCTGCTGGACAGTTATGCGAGGCTCCATTGCACCACTCTGGAAGATCACATTCATTGGCCTTTTCTCTACAGACTGTGCCCAATGGCATGAACTGGCAGTCTTTGCAACAAAGCCCAAAAGCACAAGCTGTCCCAGGTTTCAGAGTGCAGTCTGCCGAACAACAGGGATCTCTAGTACACAACTGCAAGGTTCCACAGTCACACTGCTCTCCTTCTTCAACCACACCATTCCCACAGCGCTTCAGTGTGAAGATGTCCCCTGGACGTGGTGCATTGCGCATACATATTGTTCGCACAGAGGTTTCCACCAACTTATCATAACTGCAGTTGCTGAATCTACTTGAGGGTGTTTCTGTTGGAAACATTATGCATGTGCTGTGCCCACATGTACATGGGTTTACATCGTGAAGCATACCCAAATTATGACCAATCTCATGTGTAACAATGAATGCAAATTGAAGTAATCTGTCATGCAGGAAACTATCAACTCCACAGTTAGAAAAAATATTACATACTGTTCCAACATAGGCTAAGCCAAGATGTATACCAAATCCTTTCTTTACAAAAATATGTGCAACATCATGTTGAATGCGGGAATTAAGGCTGACTCTCTTCCATTGGCAAAACGTCCGCAGGAGAACTTCTATGTCATCTGTTGCCAAGACGTTTCCTTTATTCCAGATCTCAATTCCAAGTAAAACCACATCAATTTTTAATGAAGTATAAAAGGCATCTATTATATGGACAATAATTTCTGCTTCCAACTGTACATTTGAGATATTACTTTCCTGATGAAGGAATCGTTCATGGTCTACCACCACTGCCAGTTCAATAAACCATTTGTGGGTCCACCAGCCTTCATAGGCACTTTGCATCAGAGTGGAATTATCCCTCTTTTGAAGCTTCAATTGTCGTGCTATTTCTTCTTCTGTTAATCCACATCTCCTGGGTGGGAATTGTGTTTCCTCATTATCAATCTTATATATTAGGTGTTCAAATGTGGCAGAAAACCTTTTGGGATTGATTTCATAAGCAATGTCATTTATCAGTAGCAATCCTTGAAAGCCCCCAGAACAGTTGCTAAGAGCAACAATGGATTCTGGGTCCTCTTCCACAAATCCATGATAGTAGCAGTCATTCTGGACAAAAGGCTGTTCCTCAACGAGGGCACCCTGGTCTGTGTAGGTGAACACAGAGAAAGATCTGGACACCAAATGCTTCGTGACTTTCAAGTGGATAATGTGTCTCTGGCCCCCAAAGTGCAGGCTATAGGAGAACCAGCCTGGAGCATTCATGCTGGCAGTGCCAGTTACCCTCAAGGGTATCACCACTTCTGGGGGGTTATGGGGTTGGGAGTGCCCAATCTGGGGCCATTTGAAAAGGAACAGAAACACCCCCAGGCAGAGCAGGAGTAGAGTGATCCTCACATGCACCAGGGCCTCACCCACAGTCATTATAGAGCCACCATTATGGAGCTATTGATGTGAATGAAGGACAGGAGGTCTGGGGGCACTGCTAGTCTGTCTCCTCCCTTTGATTTGGGTGTGTGCAGCATTGATCTTTAACGGTCTGTCTTCTGGCAGACTCAATCCATCAGAGCAGCAGAACTAAAGAAAAAATAAAAAGAAGGGCAGAGACAGGTGGTGTTATGAGCAGGCCAGGATGAGAAAGGAGAAAGAACAAGGTATGGGTAACGATGGATTGGTGTTTGACTCAAGACGTGACTCAGTATTCTGCATTGGATTTGCTCCTAACTACTGGTGTGGCAGAGTCAGACTGTGGGTGTACAAAAGAATGACAACTGGCCACAAGTTGGTAATTACTGAACATAGACGAAGGGCACACGTATTTACCATACTTTTTTCTAAATATATGTCTATGTGTGAACATGTCCACGACAAATATTTTAAACAAAAGGATCTTAATGGAAAGGTGAACATATATGTTGTTTGGATGAGGGAATCTTGATTTATACATATTCACTTGGAATAAATATCAATAGTTCTTCCTTTCAATTTCAAATGATAAATTATTTAGTCATTTTACTCAGGAGAAAAATACTGACGTGTATTATTTTTTACATGGTCCTTAATACATGTGGTCATCAAAAAGTTTGTGGAATGATTCATACTATCTTTTTATTTTTCCACAAACTTTTTGAAGTATCTTGTATATACTTCCATGCAATAAATCATTACTTGTCCTATCTTCATTTAAACTGCCAAACTGCAAAGTGTCAAAGCATCAAAACTATTACTTATTACTTATTATCAAAATTATTTTGATCTTCAAAATTATTATTGTCTACTGTAATGGATACCTTCTCTCAACAAAACAACAAACAATAGTGGAATTGGAGAGGGAACACCTTGGGTTGATAGGTAGATGTTACTCAAAGGTGTTCATATTGGATCATACTCTTAAAAAAAATAACATTTCTCAGATGGAAAGGAAATCAAATTAGCTAAGAAAGAAACGTGGAGATGAGAGAATACTGAAGGCAAAAGCCAGTGCCTGCAGAAATGAAAAGGAAATCAATGAACCCATAGGAGGGAGGAAAGCTTTGGGAAGGTAATATTGCTGTACTGGGGCAAAGTCATCAAAATCTCTGCTACCTTTAGGAGTAGAGGGTAACTAGATCCCAAAATCGACTTTCACATGTATTTATGTATTACATAAAATTATGTATACATATCTCATATAAAAATACAAATACAAAAATTACCTTAATGATACAAATGTACTATCACCTATTTGTAGAAATGAGATATCTGATACTAGCACCGCAGTTGGCTGGCAATACTGATTTGCCACTTGGTTCATGAATAAAATTTTAATAGAACCACATAATATGCAGACACTACGCTGCACACTAGAGAAACATAAATGAATGATACAGGCCTAAAATAGTTAATGGTCTGGAGCATGAATTTAGGCAGAGATTTGGGGCAAAGGTATACTCTAGGAATCTGTAAAATCATACCCAATATTTTACATATAAAATGACTATTTTTATTCAGCTAGTGAGAGTATCCACAGTCTTCATCAGATCATTAAGGTAATGAGATTATTAAAGTAATAATATTAACAACTACTAGCCTAGTCCCCCCCCCAAAAAAAAAAGAGAAAGAGAAAAAAAACAGAGGGAAGTGAAATCTGCTATGAGGAATAAGAACTGATCAAATACTACCTCCCATAGTAGATAATACAAAAATAAAAGATGCCAGATTCAGGCACTTAAAATCTCCCAGACCCCAGACCCATTTCTCAATTTTTCTTTTATCCTGCTTCTGAGTTCTTGTCTTCATCTCCCTAGAATCATCTTCCTGTCTCTCACGGAATCTTCCTTTCATGAAAATCAACAACAATCTCTTCTCTCTTCTCTATTTATACTTCTTTATGGAAAGCTCCTTATTTCCACTTAATTTTACACAAACTTATATCTCAACAATGTGAAGCCCACAGAGGAGAGACTTTCCATTCTCAGAATCGTCATATGCCCTACAGACCAGATATTTGGTCTTAATTTTCTTGATTACCAAAACCAGTTCCAAGCCACCTAATTGGCAGCCCACTCTCTGTACCATTATTTACCTTTCTTCCTTGTTTTTACACCAATATCCCAAATCAATCCTGCACAAACTGCAAAGAATTTGTAGTGTCTGATTTACTACTTTCTTCTATGACATTAATTTTATCCATAGTCTCACTGTGCTTAGCAAACATGTGGCCAACCCATACAGCACCCAGTTGTTGTCTTTACCTATGCAACTCATATTCAATGACCTTTATCCATTGATATTTGGCCTTGTCCTGTATTGTATAATCACCCTTGACTACTCTACCTCTTACATATTAAATAGTTAACCACAACTTTAACTCTTAATTGAAACTTACTCATGAAATTTATAGGACTTAAATAATTTTCCTTCTATTTTCCCCACTTCATGGGTTTCCATCATTGTAGCTTTTGTGCTTATAGCCTCGCTCTAGACTCCCTCAATTCAACTACTGTTGACAAAAATGCTCAACCCAATCTAGAATTAATCCTTTGCCTGCTTACGCCACTCCTGCAACATCCTGCCAACAATGCTGGGGAAATATGTCACCGAGTATATTTAGGGGCATACTTAAAAGGGGAAAACACGAAATTATGATAGCCTGACACTTCAGCCTAAAGGATGAAGTCATGAACAGATGTTTATTTCAAACACTCCTATGTTTTTAATAATTTCTGCTTTGTTGTCCACATTGTTTTGTAACTTACTGATTTTCTAAATTTCTTCATCAATATATAGGACCTTCAGCTGAAAATCAGCATTTTCTTTGTTTTTACAAGTTGTTATTATTGCCTAATTTCACTAATGGTAGTTTAAGTTGTAAAACCAAGAATTCTTTATTTAGTGATTATATAATACAGGATATTTTGCTTACTCTTTGCTTTCCCATTGCAGATAGGTGGCTGGGGACTTGTTTGAGGCTGAACACTATCCTCATCTTGAAAGTGACAAGACTGCCTTGATTACATGGGTAATAAAGTAAAATAAAGGGGATGCTTACTTCCCCAAATGCCAAGAGCCTACCAAGACAAAACTGGACCACTAGACGAAATCTTTGAGAACAACACCTTTAAATTGTGAGTAAAATCCTGATGTGCTGATGTGCTCTCTCCACGGCTCTCTTTATGTATACAGTATTTGGTAATTATGATGAAGTATGAAATTTGTTGTTATGGAAAGGGATTATTTATTAATAATGTGGCACTGTTGAGAGTGAACTTAACCAACATAAATCTGTAAGAATTTATTCCTAAGACCTCATCTTGCAAGCAGGAAATAAAAAAACCACAAAAGAATATTTGAGCCAGATTTTCATTGCACTCATTACATTATTTTATACAATGACTCCAGAGACCATATTTCCTGAGAGAATATAATATTTTCATTGATAAGGTCATAGAGCACCATAATAGTACAGAGACTTCAAAGCAGACTGTCGTACATCATCTTCTATAAATTCTGTTTTCTTCTCCCCACATATTTATCAAATTCATCAATGTCTGTACCTTAATTACCCACTATCTTCTCACTCTCATTTACAGCCCAATGCAGTGTTTTTCAAACTATAAATAAAAACCCATTAAAACATATTTAGAGGCTGTGAACCAAATGAATAAAGTAGAAGAAACTAGAAAAGAAATTATTTAATAAGGGCATAGATCCTTCTGAAGCTCTGAACACTTGGCAAAGAATCATGGTGTGTGTGTGTGTGTGTGTGTGTGTGTGCACATGTTTGTCTGTGTTTGTATTTATGCCTGCACAAATAACTGTGCTCTCTCTTTTAGAGCTAAACTCTTGAATGACTTACCAACAGATGAACTGGTGGTTCCCATAGTTCTTTCTACATATAGCCTTATTAATAGATTGTTTGTACCACCCATCTTTATGAGTAAGGATTTTTATTTGAGACTTTACATGCCAAAGAGAAATGTAAATCCCCTTCTTCATTTGCTTCTCATTTGATTAAATTCTGTATTTAGCTGCCTAGCAACCAGTGTGTCTCAGTTCTACAGAATGTGGCAACTGGCTAAGATTCCTCCCAACTCTGGCTCTACCATCTCAGCTAAATTTTCCAATTATTTTTCAATATGAACAAATCTGATTTCCTTACCCCCATTAAATATGCTCCAATAGCTCTTCAATATGAATAAAGTTGACTTCCTTGCTCCTATTCTATATGCTCCCCAAATACAGTATAATCATTTTACCTTCTGTACTTCTGCTCATTCTGTCACCTTGGTCCTAGATGATTTCTTCAACATTGAGCCATATTATTGAATACGTAAAGTATTTCAAGTTTTAGTAAAAAGTTTGCCCTCATTTAAAAGATATTCTATGTAATCCAGATATCAGTAATGATATCTATCTCTCTAAGGTTAATAACTCAGGGGCATTTCATATCTGCACATAAGTGTGCTTTATTTATTACAGACAACTATTATCAGTAAGAAAAGACAAAAACAGGATTTAGAAGAAGAGAGAGATGAATAAAAAAAAGTGGGGGAATAAATTTCATAGGTAAATTGACTGGCTGGCAGTTTAAAAATGTCAATCTGGGACAACTGCACTTAGCAAGTTGACTGGGGTAAACCATGGAAATAAGTCTAGTTATTATCCTTGGAAGTTTAACTGGGGGACAGAGAAGATGCTGGTAATATCTTCAAGTGTGATATCTTCCAGGGCCTTTCCCTTGGTCCTCTGTCTTAGTAAGTTTAGCTCTGCCTTTTCCCTCATTGGACTTTTCACTTTCTCTTTTGCTTTCATCACAGCTAATTCTTAAAAGACAAAATTTGTCAATGATATTTTTAATCTCTATATTAGTTTGCTGGGGCTGCCACAACAAAGTAACACAAAACGAGTGATTGAAACAGAAATTTATTGGCTGACAATTGGCA